CCAAGATTTCCCCAAAATGTTCCTTGCTTTTATTTTAAACATTTGATTGTTGGACTGTTTCAAATCAATCTGAATGCATACACATGAAAGCTAGTTTTGGGGTGAAAAATCAGAAAAAGAAAAACAAAGCTTTCAAAACTTCTGAATAGCTTTTGTTTTCCAATAGTGGGAACGCTCCTCCTGTTTACCTTTCCCTGTTGCAGTTAATGGTTAACGATGGTTAATCACTGACAATAGAACCCCTTCTACCAGCGAGTGCCACCAAGAAGCTATTATGCAGGAAACTGACCATAGGTGATATCAGGGTTTCAGCGAGTTGGAAAAGAGAGTAGTTGGCCAGGTGAGCTTTTGATCTTTAGCTACCATTTTGATGTAAATGTGTTCTGTGTAAATGGTGGCAGAGTGATGTTACTCAGTACTGTCAGCCAAGGCAGAGTTGTGACCTAGGAATCCTTAACATGAAGTTCATTATTGTATGGAGCTACCCATTGTCCAAGCTAGAGTGGAACAATCAGCCTCAGACTAGAGCACAATAATTCTCCCAAGCAGCAGAGAATAAGTGCAGTTATTAAAAAGGAGGACTGTTCAGACCTCAGGTAGATCTGTCAGCTGGACCAAGTGGATCATTACTGGCTTTTTATTTTGTAGCAAATGTTACTGCGGTCACAGTAATTCAAAGATCTATCAAAAGCAACACAGAAAGGGATCAGATGTAGGCTGTGTCAGCAGTCAGCCTGAGGGTGACATTCACTTTCCAAGTTCTAGAGTCATTATGAAAATGGAAAATACACAAACTAATTTTGAAGCATTTATCTGCAAGGACCAGTTATAGCAACAGTTGAATGTAATTACCAAAACAGAACTCAAGGGATCTTCAAGATCCAAGAAGGCCTAAAGATAGAGTCTTCAGCAGATATTGTCAGCATAAATGAATTTACAAGATAGTTTTAGGCAGATTATTGACACAAGTTAAAAAGTGAACCTGGAGGCAAACCATCAAGATCTTCATGATACTGTAATAAGAATAGAGCATTCTAATTTTCTGTTCAAGGCCAGTGAATTGGCCATATTCTATATCTAAGAATCCTTAAATCTTACTTCAACAGGACTAGCCTGTCATAGAGACTGAGGATAGAATCTCTATTTGAAACGGATGCATAACTAAGGGTATGTCTACACTGCAGCGCACACCCTTTGTAAAGGCATTTGGGCTAGCTTTCAAATGAGCCAGCTCAAATACTGGAAACAGCATATCTATGCTAGTGTGGCACTATCTGGGCTAATTTACTTCCCTCAATGCAGCTTGATTCTTTCGGATACTCAAGCAGACTTATTTCAAGCTTTCAGTGTCTTTATGTGGAATGTCATTGTACCATGTAGTCATGCATTAAGTTACTGAATTTCAGGAATAAAAGGTGTTTGGCATATTTTAGGATTAAGACCCACATTCATAGAAGACAGTGTTTTGAATTTGCCTGGCTAATAATTTTATGTATTCATAAAGTGGTGAAAGAATTAAGTCTGTGTCTATTTTCAGCTTCAAAAGCTGTGCTTAGCTGACACCTCACACCATGAACAAATTTTCATTTGTTGGCAAGCTTTTCCATAGAAATTCTGATATGAATGTAACTGCCAGCCTAATCCTCATGGAACTTCAGCATACTCAGGCTTGAAACCAGGCTGCCAGAAGGGCTTGCAATTGGGTCCCTAACAAGAAATGTTTTTCTTTCATTATTAGTTAAGAAACACATTTGGATAGTTCCCTAACAAATTGCAAGTGTCAGCATGCTGCCAGTTCAAATGTATGTGAAAAAGTAATGTTGCTTGGAGTGGCCTGATTTGGGTTATGGAATATACTCCTATTTCAAGGTTCCTTCATATTCAATTCTACAGACTTGCTGTGGTTGGCAGGAGCTCCTACCTGCTGAGTGCTGGAATTTTTTTCTCTAAACTACTTGACCTTGGAAGGGGGAGGGGAAGAAAAAGACAGAAGTAAATATCATCTCCTAGAGCTATACATAATTAAGTGTTGGAATCTCATTACTTGTTTGTTAACAGCAATTGCTTTGCATTCAAATCTTAGTCGTAAGGCTCAGATCGAGGATAATATCCTAATTACCAGGGTAAACTGGGCTACAAGGAGCCCCATGCTGCCATGGGTAAATAGCTTCAAGAGCCTGAGCTAGTTTTTAAATGGCTAGACTGGGTATCTGTGTACAGTCTTGCAATGCAATACAGAAGACCTCCTGACTTCAATGAAGGGGTCTCCATAAATGAAACAGGCAGCAACATATGTGCTTAACTTTACTACCGTGAGGACTGTGCCTGAAATCCATGAGGTAAATGCTTTGTGGTAAAGTTCTGCATGTCTCTAAATGTTTCTAGGATTGAATCCATAGAGAACAAGACCAAAATTACCACTGTCAGCATTGGACCTGGACTGCAAACACACCAGTTTAATAACAAATGGAAGCAGTTCACACTCCTCAAGTCAATATTGTTTTAAGCTGTCTGCACACACAGGAAGCCTATGTGCATTGATTTACATTTGTAAGGTTTCTCTTCAGCTAGAAATGCAGTACTCAATTTGTCTTCATGGCAAAAAAGGTTGAAACCTCTGTACAATTCTTGTTAAAAAAAATTTTCTCTAGTTTTTCTGTTGAGAGTTAGAGGACATGCTTATAGATCGAAGAGGTGCACAAGGGAGATTTTTTTTGGCAAAGGAATACTTTCTGCACAATGAATGAGGCCCAGCGTTTAAAGGAGGCTGATCTGGGAAGAGAAGTGTTACCAAATGGTTGTTTTTTCATTTGATTGTTATTTTAGAAATCTCATGTGGTTACACAAAGCATTTATTCTTCAAAAGGTTTTTTGAAGTGTCCGTTCCTGCAATCCTGGTATAGGCAAAACCTCCCTAGGAAGTCAAAGGGAGTTTTGATAAGTAGGTGGGCAGAATCCGATTTGTAACTTGTGCTTGGTCACTCAGAACAGTCACAAAATCATAGAAAATTAGGGTTGGAAGGGATCTCAGGAGGTCATCTAGTCCAGCCCCCTGCTCAAGCAGGATCATCCCAGCCAAAGCTTTGTCTAGCCAGGTCTTGAAAACCTCCAAGGATGGAGCTTCCACTGCCTCTCTGGGTAACCTGTTCCAGTGTCTTACTACCCCTCACATTTTGGTGAATGAATTGCTCTGAGTCTTAAGTTGGTTTGTCACTGTTCTGATCTGAAAGATGTTTCTGCAGATTTTTATATAAACTAGACATTGAACACATTCATTTCCCTTTATTTTTGTCAATTAGGTAACCAGCCACAACAAGGAGTGAATCAATATGGGCATCCTTCACACTTCTGAATCTGGAAGACAGGAGCAAGATGTAGTGTTATGTTTGCACTGAAGAATAGAAACAAATCAAAATTCAATGCACTAGTTATTGCTAGAAAGCAAGTTTTAATTTTTTTTTCTTTATTTTTCAAGACATTTTTTGTGCTGCAATTGATGTGAATAAGTAACGAAAGTGAAAGGTTTTTCTTTTGCATTTAACTAGATTTAAATGTATGGATTTGTGGGCCTATTTAAGGAACATTGTTGTTGCAAATTATATGAATTTGGTGCTTTTTTAGGGTACTGTTACTTTTAAAGAGGATAAAGAATGCTGGATTTTATTTATTGATGAGGAAACTTTTTGTTTCGTTTTGTCTTTTATTTTTTTTTATTTTATTTTTTTTTTAAAAGAACTGTACTGGACCAAACTACTAAATTGAAAGGCACTTCTGATTCTGGCATGAAGATTAATTTGTTCATTAAAATGTTCACCTCTTAGTTCTCTGACAGTAGGACAAGTATTGATTTAAATTATGTTAATTTTGACTGTTTGTAATTTTCATAAGCACTTTATATAAAGTCCTTTGGTTAAAAGTACCATTTTTCTCTTGCTTTCATTGTGGTAAGAAGGTGCTGAAGTGGGTTTCTTGCTTGTATTAGAACTTCTTAAGGTTTATATAAAAGCCACAATGTATCATTAATAAACCTACTAGAAGTAGCAGTGCTTCATATTTTTTTTCTTTTTTAAATATGTGCTATATAAATATATCTATATAGATTTCATAGACATTCGGGCTGGAAGGGACCTCAGAAGATCATCGAGTCCAGCCCCCCGCCCAAATATCTATAATAATTTTTAAATGCAACTCTCAGTGACCTCTGAAAGTACCAAATGAGGTAACAAAGACCTGAACACAGTAGACCTGTGCGAAGTGACTAGTATTCGCTTTGGATTCAGCTGATTTGGGGGACAGTGGTTCAGTTCGGCGATTCAAATTGCTGTCCCAAATCAATTCAGCTAAATCTCTGAATCAAACAGACCCCACCCCCCGCCGACTCTCCCAGCCCCATCAATGGCTGTCCTGGCCAGCCCCAGCCTCCCAGCTCTTTTTTTTTTTTTTTTTTTTTTTTAAAAGACACCACTCACCAGCTGCTGCCAGGTGGGGGGGTGACTCCTGCTGCCCCCCACTGCCTTTTTTTAAAGCCCTGCACTCACCAGTTCCTGCCAGGTGGGAGGGTGGAGGCAATCCCTGCTGCCCCCCACTGCCCTGCGCTGTGTGGGGGGGCTCTGCCACAAGCCCCCAGAAACTCTGACAGCCACTGCATCAGCCAGTGAATGCAGGGCTTTTTTTTTTTTTCTTCAAAAAGTTGGGAGCTGAGGCCAGGCAGGGTAGCCATGGGGGGCTGAGATAGCGGGCAGGGGTTGGGGGGCACTGAGGGGGGCTGGGGGAGCAGGCAGGAGATGGGGCCTGGTGTGGTCCCCCCATGGTCCCCTTCCCCCTCCTCCAGGCCCCTCCCCCCACTTACCAGTTCCAGCTCCCTGCAGTGGTGAGTGGGGACTGCCCAAATCTTTTCTGAATTGATTTGGGGAACTTCAAATTGATTTGGACCTTTTTATTGGTCTCCTGATTCAATTCAGATTTGGAGATTTGGCTGCTGAATCTCCTCCAAATTGAATCAGCACCCAAAGGTTCACACAGCCCTGCTGAACAGCCACAAGAGATTTAGCTCTAACTTGTTTTGGCCCTGTTTCAAGTCCCATTAATATCCAACATGAGTCTTTCAGTTAACCTCAATAGGAATTGAATCTCTGGGTCTTGCTTGTAAGGTTCAGGAGAAACCTCTTTCCAGCTTCCACTCTCTGGAGTTTTGTGAGATGCTGGAAGAACCACCAAAATTACTTTACCAGTTTTTGCAATATAAGTTGGTCCTTGTTTGGGTAAATTCAAAAGAAACAAGCTAATCCTGTCAGAATGTCTCTACTATTTATTTGGTATGGTAAGTATTTAAAATTTTCTAGTTGACTCTTAGTGCTGAATGAGTCTTGGTTGTGAAATGCAGACTGTATTTACAGATTTGGTTCAAAATCACAAAAAAAAATTGAAAAAGTTACTATTTTAACCTGTTGAAATATGTGGTACATTTTTTTTCATCTTAGTGTTAAATAATCAGAATAAGTTTACTATTGCTTTATGTGATTCAAGTTATTCCATGAGACTTTGTTTAGAACTAGGTATGCACATTTTGATTGTGAAATATTCAGGGCATTTAAAAATACATTTATATTTTTATGTTTTGTACTAACTCATTTTTTCATTTGCCATTTAAATAGTTTACAATATAATATCAAGAAACATCCTGCAGAGTCTCTACTAACAAGCTTCAATTAACTGAAACACAGTATAGCCAAATAAGTCTGATAAGTAGTAAACTTTGTAAAAAAAATTGAAAGCTTATCATTTGTATTTGTGTGAATTCCATGTTGCAAAGTCTCACTAACAGAAGTAACTTATAGCAGATGTCAGCATATTTACTTTAATAAAATTCTTATAGATTTCTTTGTACATTGTGAAAATATTTAGCTAAGGATTTCTTGTCTTGACCGTCTTCGCGCTGGAACAGAATTTTGTCAAAAAATAAGGGTCACTGAGTCCACAAAGTTAACATGTACTATGTTTGTTCACAAAGTTGATATTTACTTGTAAATTTATTTTTTCCTTTTTTTTGTAGATCAGGTATTGTCTCAAAGAAGCCTGATGCAAACTGATATCATTGTCTTTTCAAATTACTTCATTTTGCTAGAAATTTATTAATACAGTACTACATATTCTGTCACAGATCAGTTTTTGTCCTCATTTACCCATCTAACATTACTGATTTGCAGCATGGTTACATGATTGTAATGGAGGACAGACTCTGAGCTTCATGTCTCATTTGTAGAATAAGTATGCGTTCACAAGTTAATAATATTGAAAATGTTAGAAGCAGGATGAGTTTCTAATCTTTTTTTCCCAGAGCAAGGTGGATTTAAAATTGGATTAAACAAACAAGAAACCCTAGTACGATCAACTTTCAGTAGTCTCAGAAGTCTTAGTCAGTAAAAAATTATTCTAAGCTACCTGTGTCATGTGAAACTCCACACAGTTTTGGCTTTGTGAGAGTCCAGTTTATTCAGTAAAAGGATCTAACTGACACAGAAGCTCTCAAAAACAATACATAGCTGCCCTTAGGTCCCAAGGTTTTGGTGCTGGCTAGAAAGCTCAGACAGCCTATGATTTCTTTAAACCTCAGAGCAAATGTGTGTTAGGCAAATCATATACTAGAGTAACTATCCAATGGTACAATGGACAAAAAGACTTACTACCACGTAAGTGGGTTAAGTTAATTTGCCTTTAAATTAAAAGATAAACTATTGCTTTCTGAAGGTACAGATTACTTCCCTTTAATTTATGGGTGATGGAATTACTTGTTAATTTTATAAAATTTTACCCTTTTACTGGGTCTTGATTAGGTTGGCAACAGTATTACCAAGAATAACCAGCAAAATTTTATCTAGCCAATTTGCCTCTAATGCACCATCAATTCTAGGGAAGGATGTAACAAGTGGCTAACTTTAGGAAGTCATCAATTTACTACAAAAGAATCAACTAAAATTTAGCTTGTGGCCGGCTTTTAAGGTTCTTCCTCAGTTGATTGAAATTTAGTCAAGGTATACCTGGCCTGAAAATTTGGGAACTCTCTGGTCCTTAGCACAAGTTAAAACATTGGTGAGATTGGGATCTGAGAAATGTTATACCCCATTTTATACCCCATCTCAAACACTGCTGACATGCATAACAGGATGCACAGTATTTAGTAAGGGACATAAAATTCCTCAGATTCCAATGACTTGACTGCCAGGGATGAATTGGGACTCTCCGCAGCCTGATCCCACAAGTGAGAACCAGCTGCTTGTTAGCATTGGGCCCCTGACAATCTTGGGTCTGGGACACATGCCACACACTATACAAACCAGACCTCCTTGGCCTTACTTGAGATGCACCTGTGGATGCACGACAAGGTCCGGTTAGCCCTGCCAACCGTGACCTCGCATTGTCAGCCCATGTTCGTCTTGGAGTCAATAATGACTCCAAGATCCCTTTCTGCCTCTGTGCTCTCAAGAAGGGAGTTTCCCATCTTATAAGTGTGCTGCTGGTTACTACTGCCCAAGTGCAGCACCCTGCACTTGTCAGTATTGAAATGCAACCTGTTTTTGCTAGCCCACCCCTGTAACCTATCCAGGTCTTGCTGCAGTCTTTCCCTCCCTACTAGCGTGCTCGCCTCACCCCAAATTTTGGTATCATCAGCAAATTTAAACAGGTTGCTTTTCACCCATCATCCAAATCGCTGTTAAAGAAATTGAACAGCACAGGCCCAAGGACCGAGCTCTGGCGGGCTCCGCTGCCCACTTCTCCCCAGGTCGATTATGACCTGTCCACCACCACTTCTGAGTACGACCCTTCAGCCAATCTGCAATCCATCTGAAGGTGTAGGCATCAATGCCACAGTTGCCTAGTTTTTTAATGAGGATGGGATGGGAGACGGTGTCAAATGCCTTGCTGAAGTGCAGAAAGACTACATCCATGGCGACACCTGCATCCAATGCTTTTGTGACCTGATCATAAAAGGCAATCAGGTTGGTCTGCCATGACCTGCCCGTAATGAAACCATGCTGGTTGCCCTTGAGCATCATCCCTGAAGCCGGCCCATCGCAGATGTGCTCCTTGGTGATCTTCTCAAAGAGTTTCCCTAGAAATGAGGTAAGACTGACGGGCCTATAGTTGCCTGGTCCTCCCTCCTCCCTTTTTTAAAGATGGGGACCACATTGGCTGTCTTCCAATCATCTGGCACCTTGCCTGAGCACCATGAGCACTTGTAAAGCTGTGCCAAAGGCCCTGCAATAACTCCTGCTAGCTCCCTCAACACCCTGGGGTGGAGAGCATCTGGACCCGCTGATTTGAACATATCCAGCCCCTCCAGAAGCTCTCTAACCCAGTCCTCCCCACCTGAGGTCTGGAGGCATTCCACTCGAGTCCATCTTGCATCACGGTGGGGAAGTCCCAGTCCCTGCCCAAGAAAACGGAAGTGAAGAATTGGTTAAAGAGGTCTGCTTTCTCCTCTGGGGCAACCACCAGATTGCCCAGAGTATCTTGCAGGGGCCCCACACTTCCAGGAGCCTTCTTCATCCTCCCTGTATATTTGGAAAAGGACTTTTTATTATCTTTGAGATAATAAATCATTTTATGCCACCATGCATTGGGTGAATGTTGTAATTTATGATGAAATTAACATATTAATCATGCCAAAAACATAATGTGTGCAAGGGGCCTCTGAGCATGTTCTAATTTTCTTAAGCATTAGATTTCCCATAGACTAATTAGAGAGATGTTTAAGGATTTTTTTAATTCATTTCGTAGCATGTAGGAGTTTGCTTGTAGCAGTATCTTACAAGCAATATTACTTTGTAGTTCTAATTGTCCTAGGCATTTCATTGATGTAGGAGCTGGTGTGGTATAGAATGGCAGCAGGTGTTTTATCCTGTACCCTTCCCACAAACATGCGATTTTCTGCATAATCTGTGATTTTTGGATACATTTTCTCTGCAGATAATCATGTTCTGTAATGAAGTTAAAAAGCTGTGACCCTGGTCTTTCTCTACAGACACTAATACCTCTACCTGGGAGCGTATGAATTGGGAACTCTGACTTTGCTATTGTTAGTTTAATCTTCTAAGGTTTATTTGGCTCGTGAAGTCCTAGAGTCTGTTCTGGTGAAGAACATTTAAATAGGCATTTCCTTATTGCCTTAAAAGAATTAGCTTGTTGGGAATACAATTTTCCATTGGATTAAGCCACCTGTATTCTAACATATATGAAATGATTTTTAGTTTGAAATCTTTAGAAGCTGACTTTTGACAAAAGGCATCAGCCTATATGGTTTGAATCTGTAGGTTTAGTTGCTTTTTCATTTTTTAATAAATATATATAGAATCTTTATTGTCTCTTTTAAAAGCACTATTAAACTATTTTGATTTTTTTTTTAAAGAACAAAACAAAGAAGAAAAATTCAAGTGTAAAAGAATAAGTCATATTATTAAAAATAGCTCAATACTTGTTTTCTATGAAATATTTATAAAAGAATTACAAAATATTCATACATGTCAATAAGGTAATTTTAAATCACAATAAAATCTGTTCTTCTATTTTTAAATACTTTTGAATGTTTGCCATGCTTATAACAATGATACAAAATGGGCAGTAAAAAACCAATATAAAAAAATCTCCTTCCTTAACTGAAGACTTTCAGTTACATTTTCTGGAAAGCAGTTTGATACTGCTTCTTGGCAAAATAAAAGTGCCTTAAGTTAGATTTTGTTTAAGTCCATTAGTCATTGAAGAAATCAATGCTGTTTTATAATGCAAGACTTCCCTTCCCTCCTCCACTCCAAGTCTTTCTTTTTTGCATGTTTGTTGTAAACTGAATACTGTGAATGTGTTCAGGTTCACTTACAAGCTTATGGCTGCCTTTGATTAAACTTTTTCCAAAAATAAACTCAGTCCAGATGTAACCTTTAACAATTGTTCAGAGTATTTTTCTCATTTCAGATTACTTGAATATATGTTATTGTGAAATCGCTGCCAACCTGATTCTTAGCTGTGCACTTGTACATGCCAGAATCTGATGGCTTTGGATGTTGGATGACTAATGTCCCTTGTGGGTGAAGCAGTTCACTTCCGGATGGTTGGCCTCTACTAGCTGTGGAAAGCACTGAATGGTCAGGTAGCTCCCATGTAATTTCTGGTTTTGGTATCCCTAGTGCCATACAGTTGAGCTGAACTGCTGCACCAACCATTGTTCTTATGCTTTGTGGTGGTCTGTTTGTAATCCGTGGGGGAAAGGCTACGATTATCACAGGGATTGTTGCAGATGAGTCACCAGCATTGTTCTGAGTCTTGCACACATAGTTTCCTCTATCATGAATGGTTGTTTCTCTGATAACTAAAGTACCATTTTCAAGCAATATGTATTTTCCGTTAATTTGAGGCCGATCTATGACATAGCCACTTGGTACTGTCCATATGGTGTTTGGCTTGGGGTTTCCATCAGAAAGACAATGAAGAGATAATGATTCCCCACTAATACTTTTTACTGGTCCTCTTGAATAAAAAAGAATAGTGGGCTTCTGGCCAACCTCCAAGATGATCAGCTTTTCAATATAGCCAACTTTATTTCTGGCTGCACAGCGATATTTTCCTGCATCATCCTTGGAAGGATTATAAATGATGAGGGTACCATTACTTCCTGTATAAAACCGAGAAATTCTGGCCCCGTCAGAAAACCGTGTGCCATTGGGCAACATCCAGATGATTTCAGGGGGAGGGTTTCCATCAACTGAACAATTTAATACAGTAATTTTCCCAGGTTTTGCTATTATTTTTTCATTGAATGGATTTCTGAACATTGGCCTCCTTAGCATTTCTAATACCTCTAGCTGCACAACCAATACGCTTTCTCCACCATCGTTTCGTGCCACGCAGATAAAATCTGCTGTGTCTGAAGGTCTTACATTCCGGATCTCAAGTGTCCCATTTTTGTGTACTGTTATTCTGCTCCCATAGTATGGAGCTGTTAGGAAAATATTGTCAGGCATAATCCACATAATATGAGGGGAAGGAGTCCCTTCTGCCCAGCAGTGTATTTGCTTCTTTGAGTGCTTCACTGCTGTTGCTCTAATAACTGTTTTGTTTGTATACAAACCGTTTATTAAAGGTGGCCTGGAAATAACATCCAGTTTATAAAGTTTTGTATCATCTCCACCAGGATTACGAGCCACGCATATGTACTCGCCAGCATCCAGCAGTTTGACTTTACTGACTGACAACGATCCATTAGCCTGCAGCAAATATCTATCGGTTGAAGTTGAGATCATATCGCTGGAAGGTAGCAGCCAAAAGATTTTTGGCTTGGGTTCTCCAACAACATCGCAATTAAATACTGCAGTATCTCCAGCTCTTATTTTAATGTAGGTCTTGTGATTCTGTGTTATACGAGGTGCAGCTGTTACCACTGTAATGTGTATCTTCATTTCATCTTTTCCCAGAGTATTTTGGGCATAGCAAGTATAGTCTCCCTCTTCAGCTATTCCAACCTTACTGAAATAGAGAGTTCCATTGTCAAAAAGAACGTATCTCCGAGACCTACGTCCACTGTCGTCAGCTTGCATCGCGTTATTGATCATTGTGCCATCGGGTAAACTCCAGGATATTTCTGGCTCAGGTGACCCAGAGGCTTTGCAGTCCACTTTGAAATCTTTACCATATGGCACCTGCTTTTTAAAGTATTGTTTTTGGTCAATCTTGGCAGGTTTCATTGTCACAATTACTTTCATCAGTATCAGGTCATCTCCAATTTTGTTCCTTGCCACACACACATAATCACCTGCATCCTTTTCAGTAACTGCCTCAGTAAACAAGGACCCATTGGGATAAACATGGATTCGACTTCCCATTCTAGTGAAAGAAAAAAGATGGATATGTAATTACATGCTAAAGAAGAACACTAAGCTTAACAGAAGATACAAAGTAACATGGACATAAGTTGATGAATATGCTGTAGGGTTTTTCTGGATCTAGAAGCTTTGTATTTGCATTAAAATAAACCATAAGCCTATGATCTGGACAGATGTATATCCAAAATTTTAGACAACATGGGGGGAAAAATCAATATCATTATATCCTTCCTGACAATTAGACCTATTTAATCTTTCCACTAAGCCACTCAAACCTCAGCCCTCTCCCTCCTCAAAAGACTGGGGGAAAAATTGCTATGTATTATAATAATCATCAAACTTGGATTCTGAGATCACTAGAAAAGACATCCAGACCTTGGAGGCCAGGCCAGCAAGTGCAGCCAAAATGCAGAGTTGTGTGCAAAACAACTTAAGAGCTCTCTGTTACACTCCATACTAGTACCTGGGGATATCCTCCGCACTGGTTTTGCAGATCACCTTGATTTCTGCCCTAACATCAAGCACTAATTACCACAGGAGGCTGAAAACAGAACTCGGGATCAGGCATGGATAAGAAGAGTATGATTATGTTTTTGTTTTCCTACTACCCCTTCAACTAGAGGAGCACATGGTGTAACATGCCATTGCAAAATCATTCTGTCTGAGCTATTTAAATTGGGCTGCAAGTTTCCACGGCTACAATTTGCTATTTTTTGACAGGCTTAGGTCCTCCTGTTACTTCGGTATTGTTGTTTTCTTGTCTTTCCATTCCACCTACTACATGAATGATGAACTTTATCTCTAAGATGTATTCCATAGTATACAGTAAATGGTAAGAGTTATCCCTGCTTTATTGAGAATTCCTCACTTTGCGGGTGGAATTGTTTTTCTGATGCTTACTAGATTTATTTTCTAGTATATCTGGCTAAATTCCCCCCACCCCATGTTGTTTTCACGCTCCAGGTTAATATTTTTTCAAGCCAATTTCTATTTTCAGTTTCATTTTTCAACAGTTTATTTTATATAATATCTTTTCTAACAATCAAAAAATAAAGTTATAACTTAATACATATACTAAGGGATGCCAGAACTGTGTTAGGGGGCAGGGGAAGGAATAACACCTAAATACCGAAGGGCTGGCAGTAACCATAACCAACTCCAGGTTTATAAATCATTTATCTCTTAACAGTAAGTGAATGCTACAATGCAATATGAAAAAAAATCAGACAAACACTGAAGAACAAGTTATCAGGCACCCTCTACATGTGCAGGAAAAGGTGTAATGAGATCTAATGTGTGATCCATGCAATTGCACCTTATGCAATACCACACATTGCAGGAGGTGCAATTGTGGGGTTGTGCATTAGATCCCATTGCACCTTTTGGTGGGGCAGGGAGATCCCAATCCCAGGCTCCTCCCACACTGGCAAGAAGTCAGTTGAGGGACTCCCAGCCATGACACCACCTCATGCACCCCTGGGGACTAGTGAGTCATGGCAATTATGAATTCCCTGCCTCAGGGTGCATGAAACTCCCAGGGCTGGGGAATCATAGCTACTACAATCTCCCAGTCTCAGTGGTTTCATGCACCCCCAGGGCAGCTTCATCCCCCTGGTAGCTGGGACTCAGTTGGGTCCCAGCACCTAGCATCCGCTACTGCGGGACCCAGCGTCAGCAGCTGCTGGGGCTGAGTGTCCCCTCAGTTGCCAGACTCCCAGCTCCAGCTGCACACGATATACCCCTGTGGCTGGGAACCCGGCCAGTTGCTGGGCTCTTAGCAGCAGGGGATACCCTGCTTTATGTTTAAAATACAGCTGGATACCAACCAGCTATAAAGTTAGTATAGAACACATTTTTTCAGTCTAACTTTATAGCTGGTTGGAGCTTTTTTATAGCATGGTGGGTACTTTACACATGTAGCTGGTCTTAAGGTAACTGTGCTTTTAACCAGTTAATTGCGCAATACCTGTAACATGTAGAGGGGGCCTCAGTGTTGCTTTATCTTGCTGTTGAATTTCCAGGGAGATTTAATTTTAAATGGACAACCTTGTTTACTGGTTTTCAGATATGAAATCGGGGTGACATATTGGCCTTCAAAAAGGTTGCATAGTGGCAGGATTTAGACAATCTTACGTGCTTGCCAGACATAAGAAAATTTTAGTTTCCTAACGGATCTTTTGGGAACTTCTTAAAATTATGCATGCTAAATAATTATGCTATTTTCAAGTGTTGTGAAAATATTGCAACTATTTTCTTAGTTTTGCCTTTTTTCTGAAGTCATAATTCTCCTTCCTATTCACTCTCATTTCAACTATTTTAGACTAACTAGTAAGTGTTACAATATGTGAATAAAAAATTAGAAGGTAAGGTAATGTGGCACCTTATAAACGAACTCATTCTCAGACGTGAGGTTTATAGACTATGTCCTATTTTGTTAGATACTATGTATGAATTTGCAGAGAGAGCAGGGGTACTACATTGAAAGGAATAAAGTAATTTAAATACAAAGGATAGGGAAAAGGGGAGGAAAGAAGAGGACACTACTAAAAAGGGGGAATGTGGGTTGAAGAGAGAAAAAGGCATGAATAAAGGAGATAACCCACTGAGAGGCATACCTCTCTCAAAAACTCAGTTAGCCATCATAATAAATACTCTACACATCACAACTTAAAGGGCATATTTTGCCTAAATCTCAGTTCTCTCCCTGCAAAGCTTAGAAGTTCTGCAACACTGAGTTACCCATTCACCTGAAGCTCATCTCTTTCAATTTTACAGTATAGCTTAAAACTGTCAATGAATCTGTAGTTATTCTAATACCATTAACTGTCTGAATCTTTTTCAATTATATATTAAAAATCTCTGTCCTTTTTATTTTTAGAAGTAGTTCTAAAGTTGTGTGTTTCAAAATTATTGCAAGTTGTTCATATAATTGGCAATCTGGCTTTTACTTAAACTTGTTGCTGGAAAACAAGTCTCAGCATAGGAAGTGTAGAATTCTTTTTGTCCAAAAACTAGATCCCAGAATGTAAGTCCAGATGATTGTTGTTAAGGGTATTTACATTGTACTATAGTTAAACTGAAATCTTAGCACCTCATTCATAATCTGTAGCTATTCTGGTCAGAGATAAATTAGCTTCAACCAGCAATCTTATTAGGAATGATTAAATTACAGTTACCGTGTAGCACAGATTTATAGTCAGGTTTTTTGCACTATTCTGTATCTACTATATGCTGAACTGTGATTAATTTCTGGGGGACTGTGGCGTAGACACCCATACAGTCCAATGGGTCACCAACTGGTTAGAGAGTTGCACCCAGAGGGTGGTAGTGGATGGGTCCTTCTCGACCTGGAAGGACGTGGGAAGTGGGGTCCCACAGGGCTCGGTCCTTGGGCCTGCACTGTTCAATATCTTCATCAGTGATTTGGACGAGGGGGTGCAAAGCACCCTGTTCAAGTTTGCTGATGACACTAAGATGTGGGGGGA